ATCCTGAGTCCAAAATAGATTTGTTTCCAAACATAGTGTCAATCACAGGGAGTAATACCGAATAATCAACTGTGCAGATGAGATTTTGAATACCTGCACCATTCCAGCCAAAATCGTGTCCTCTTAAATGTTAGTCTCCAGTCAGAAAGATGACAACGTGACTTTAAAAGTCTGGAAATTTCTAATCCAAATTTTCCAGATCTTGGCCATTCAACTAGTAGAAGGATCTGGTTTTCCTCTTCACCTCCTGATATGGCTAGATTTTTTGCAACTTCAGCCCGTCTTGCCCATAAGTTACCGTTTGCAGTTAGGAGGCTAGATGACTCAAAGTAAAGATTTTAGTATGCCCTGTGTGAATCAGAATGGAACGGCTCCAAACCGTTTTAATTTGCGTCTGTAAACGGGCTGTCCCTCTCCTAAACAGAAATTCTTAAAAAAAACAACCAATTAATTCAGGGTTTGTGACGGGCGTTCGCAGTTAGCGCAACATCTGACAAAATTTCACTTAACTGTAATTCACCTTCATGGGAATACAGTACTTTCCTTCCACGCATTTTACAATGAGGACGCTCAGGCAGGGTAGGGCAGAGTATATGACACTAGGCACGAAATCTTAAACCTGAAAATGTCGGTCCCGAGGTTACCCGATTTGAGAAGGTAAACCATCTACCGATAAATCAAGAGACGCTCGTTACTGGGCAAACTTCACCTTCGACAAAATGACGCGTTCGTCGATTCTTCTTTTCTCCGTCATCTTTCATTAATGAGGGTCGGCGACCGGAGTGGTGCAAAACACTATGCACTTTAATTTTTCAGTGTCCTGAATAAAGTAAGAGCACCTTTCCACAAACTTGATATATAACGCCGATGTTTTAGACATCAATAATGGTGAGAAACAACCCAAGTATGGAAGAGTATATGAGAGGATGAGGTAGAGTTGAGTATGCATAAACTGCGGCGATATGCAGCATTGATCTGAATGAATGAAAACTCGCCTGCCAATGGAACACTGCGATGAACGTAGGAGAGGAAAACAATGCCACTAACGGTGTTTACTCAGAGGGCAGGGGGCACAGGATTTGGAGAAGAACAAAAAAGACCTTCACCCACTGTGGACTGCGTCAGAGTGGTGACGATAATGTGATGAACAAGATAATGATGGTTTCGCTTCACAAAGCTGAAATAAGAACATCTGTGTAGCAAAGCTCAGATAGCCGATCCTCGTCAATGAGGATATGCAGCCAATAAGAAGATCGTTCTAAGATATAGCTGTTCGACTGGCCACTACAAACACACGTTCGACTGCCGACCTACCCACCTTCGTGACCAACGCGGCCGGTCCGGCCGACACGATGAATGTATTCTTCGACGTCCTGCGGCAACTCATAGTTGATCACGTGCTTCACGTCCGGTATGTCAAGCCCACGAGCGGCTACCTGAAAGACAAACGTAACGATGAGGTACTGCGGAGGAAGGTCATTCATAAAAGTATGTACCGCCGTCGCAACGAGAATCGGCGCCATTCCCTTTCTGAACAGCGACAAACTGCGTTGGCGAGCTCGCTGCGACATATCCCCATGAATAGCCGCCACATGAAAGTTGCTTCGCTGCAGATCTGACAGCAAGAAGTCAGCGGACGACTTGCGCTGTACGAAGACCAGTACCCGATTGTTCATGTCTGGACGAGTCGATTTGCCAAAATCAGCATTTTATGTCGACAGCGTAACAGAATGGAAGAAGAAAGAAATGGAAAACTTAAAACAGCTTACCTTCCTTTTGCAACAATTCTATCAACGTTTTCAGTTTGTCTCGAGGCTGCACCAACAAAAGCTTCTGGGTGATCGACGCAGGAATACAGCCGAGCTCACCGAATTCCATGTATATGTGCTCAGGTTTCATGAAGTCCTTCGCCAACATCTATAGCAAAAAAACAATATCGTTCCAATTCACTGTAGTACAGATGGTGATAGAGTATAGCATCGAGAAATTCCAGATTCGTTCAACCCTTTGACCAGAATTGAAAACAATTCCAAAACGTATTTAATGCGGTATGGGTAAGAAATACCTTCATAAAGGCATATGAGCACTTTGTGTACTCAGTCTCCCGGTCAGGTAGGACAGGACGATGGGAAACGACTGAAGTAAAGGATCGCATGCGGGAATGAAATACAGTTGATGGACTGAACGGCAATCCATATGACTGCTAAGATAAAGATGTTTGAAATTTTCTAGTACTCATTTCCCTGAAATAAAAACATTCTGAGTAGAGATAAGGGGAGACCGATGGCAACCACGTGCACTTATGCGGGAAAATGCACGACTAACCGAACCATCAAGGCGTTACTCCTCTTTATTGATAATTAGAACAGGAACGGACTGGAACCGAAGAAGAAAGTAAGTTTTCGCGTACATCTGAGGTGCATGCTTAGACATGAAAATCGCAATCTTGTGTAGAGAGGAACACTGCGTATCTTGCACATGTGTTCGCAGATACCGAAACAGCGCAAAGAGTTTAACATACAAAGAGACATCTCGATAGAAGATCACGAAAATCTGTCAAAACTACCACCACCAGGACGGCAACTTCCTCATCCAATGGGATGGGGTACACGCAAAAAATGCAGTAATCTGCTCCCAAAACAGACTAAAACTTTCGTTAGTAGCCATCCTTTTCTCTTCTTTGTGACAAAAAACTGTTACAAAAATAAAGGGGCGAGATAACGGACTTAAAAAAGAATTAATCAGTGATTCTAAAAAAGAGTTAATTTACAGCCAAACTACATCTAGCACAAATTCAAATGCCCCGCAAACAAGATAATAAATTTTAAAAAAGCC